AGTTGTTATTGGGAAACAACTTATTTTCCTCTTATATTTATATGGAATAAATAATCCCCAATATTTCCCTCCCCAATATCTGCCTTTTGTATGTTTTTTAAAGGCAAGTGCCTAAAATTTACTGTTTGAGGCACTTACTGAAAGGACTGCCATCAAGTTGTTTTGCTAATAGCACATGCCAGGCGCTTGTTGGTTTGCTTAATTCAAGGTAACTTGGATGAGAAGAGTTTTTCTCATCCATGAACCAGTGGCATATAGATTACTGATATTGTGACTGGATGTACTCCTGCTTTCTAGTCTGAGTTTCTGAAGCTACCATTAATCTTGGTTTCAATTTTATCTAGCCCTGTACATATCCAGGGCTCTTTCCAAAATGGCCTATGATTTGTTCAGGAAATTACAATAGCTGTACCTTCTTACCCTTGGTTCCGGACATTTTCTTGGCTTCGAACACATCCAGTATTTTATCGAAGTATTTATCCTTCCTACTTGGCTGGCTTCTTCACTTCCTTTCAGGTCTGAATTCAAATGACATTCTCCTGATGAAACTTTTCCTCCTTATTCCTATTCTTTTTTCTTAACCCCTTTCTTTATTTTTCTGCATAGCACTCATCACTTATCTCTACATTTTCACTATGTATTTACCTTATTGTGCACTTCCTCCTACAAGACAAGTAGCACCCTAAGGAAACAGGTTGTCTGCTTTTTCACTGCTATGTTCCCTGCACCTAGAACTCTCTCTGGCACTTAGCAGGTTTTCAGTAAATATATGCTGAACTAATGCTGGATATACACCTCCCTCATGAACTCTCTAACTCCTTCTAATTTACAGTGATCAATCTTCTTTTTTATGTGCGTTTGTATGATATATTGCTCAAAGTCTTTATTTTGTATGCAGAATGTGCACTGCTATTTAATCTTCAGGTATGTAAGTCCTCCCTTCTCAGAGTATAATCTCTTTAGGGCAGTATCTGAGATAACTTTTTAACATCTTCATCATGTATCTTGCACCTTTTCTAAGAAAATGAGCCAGCGGTTACTGATGTTTACTGCTATTGTTGAGGGAGAAGATCATTATCATTTTGAAAAGGGAGGTTGAATATTGTGAAGGGAAAAATATCACCAGAGTCAGAAGACTTGGGAAAAGGCAAAAAAGAAACTAAAAATCAGCACTTTTAGTTTCCTCACAGTTTCTCTGCATCAAATCCATAGTTCTGTGACAGTATTGGCTTAGGAGCAGATTTTTTTTTTTTTTTTTTTTTTGAGAGGTAGTTTTGCTTTTGCTCAGGCTGGAGTGCATTGGCGCGATCTCTGCTCGCTGCAACCTCCGTCTCCAGGGTTCAAGCGATTCTCCTGCTTCAGCCTACGGAGTAGCTGGGATTACAGGTTCCCACCACCATGCCCAGCTAATGTTTTGTATTTTTAGTAAAGCCTGGGGTTTCACCATGTTGGCCAGGTTGGTTATAAACTCCTGACCTCAGGTGATCCGCCCGCCTCAGCCTCCCAAAATGTTGGGATTACAGGCATGAGCCACCGTTCCCGTCCAGGAGCAGATTTTCTTACACCTGTGTCTCTTTTTCCTTCTGCCATTCTGTTTCAGTATAAGTAGACCAAAGATACAAGTCGTAGATACCTCAGAAATTCCTGGAATAATTAATCCACCTTCATCTATACCCCCCCTGCTCCTATCTCATGGAATATAAAAGGAAAAACACCAAGATGTCTCTAGGCAATCTCTCTTGATTTTAGGTTCCTCAACACGAGAGGGAGACAATGGCTATAATAATACTGTTCGAGCCAAGGAAAAACTTCCCCTTTGCCCTCCCAAGGTTTACTGAAAATTACTGGCAAAACACAGATTAATTGGAGAAAAGGCATATACATTTATTTCATCATAATTTTACCGGAAATTTTAGAATGGAAAGATACAGGGGAAATTGCCCATTTTTATGCTTAGGTTCAACAATATAAACAGCTGTATAGGGTACATCGAATGCTAACAGACTGAGTAGGGAGGTCCCGCAAGTCTTGTGTGTCAAGATTCTTCTTGACCTCTCAGTGCAGCATTCTTTCCTTCTGGTTATGGGACAAGACCCTCTTTTAGAATGAGGGGGTCTTATGACCTACGGGCAAACAAGGTTGGTTAGAGTAATATTTTTAAGTTTTATGGCTGGCTCTGGGGAAAAGGAGTTCTGGTTTGTATAGCCTACCTTGAGGAGGAATTCTGGTTTCTATGGCTAGCCTTTGCAGAGAATGGGACTTAGAGACAGGAAGGCAGAAGAAGGTCAGAGAAACACTTTTATGATAATAATCCCATTTTGAGTATTTCTGTTATGGAATGTTTGTTCTCTCATTTCCTGAAAGATTCCAGAGACTCCTCATTCAGTGTTATGAAAAAGTTCAGGAAATGCAACTCAAAAGTATGCCACTTTGTTATGCTGATTTCTTTGAACTGAGGGCACTTAGGAGATTCAGGGAGGAGCTTTCTCTGAACTCTTGTTATCAAAAATTTCAAAAATTAAAAAAAAAATTCAAAAAGAAATTTAGTTAAGATTCACTTCCCTGGGGAATCTCATCAACCAGAGAAGATTAACTATATCACAGGAGAGGAGACTGGCGGTTAACACCATCTAAACAGACTTTGTTACAGCTGTCACCTATTCTTTGAAACATCCATTTATTTTTCTCCCGAATCATATACTCTCCCCTAAGTTGCTTACATCCCCTTCTCTTTCCCTTATGAATCAGAGAGCTTATAAGCTTCTACAGCTGGGATTTGAGGTATTCCCTTTTCTTCCTTCCCCCCCACCCAACCTTTTTTTTCTTTGAAACAGTCTCCTGGCTCTGTCGCCCACGCTGGAGTGTGGTGGCTCTAACTGAACTCACTGCAACCTCTGCCTCTCCGGTTCAAGCGATCCTCCCACCTCAGCTTCTCGGGTAACTGTAACTACAAGCGTGCACTAACTACCAACCCCGTCTTTTTTTTTTCTTTTTTTTCCCCCCTTCTTTTCTTGGTATTTTACTGGAGACAGGGTTTCTCCATGTTGTCCACGCTGGTCTCGAACGCCTGGCCCACCCTCCTCGGCCTCCCAAAGTGCTGGGATTACCGGAATGAGCCACCGCGCCCGGTTTGAAGAACCTCTTAAATATCTATTTAGAAATTGGTCGGAGTCCACTCCTTTCCAAAACCATGAGTCACAAGCCCGGAAAAGCACTAGCGGCTAAAAGTCAAAATAACCAGAACAAAACCTCCACTCATGCTTAAAAAAGATACTTTGACAAAATCCTAATTGGGTTAGCATTCAAGTCGAAGGCTCCTCAAGCCATACTGGGGTTTGAGTCAAACATAAACCTTACACCAGATGGAAGGATTACATGCAAATGAAGGATGCAGATTCTGATTTCCCATTGGGTATTTGAAATTAGCCAATGGGAGAATTCCCCACAGCCTACCTCCAGTCAGTATAAATGCTTCTCTGCCTTCTCTCCTAACATATTCTCGTTACATTTTCCTGTGGGCGTTTTTTTATTCTAGCTGAAGTAGCTATGTCTGGTCGCGGCAAACAAGGCGGCAAAGCCCGCGCCAAGGCTAAGACTCGTTCTTCTCGTGCAGGTCTGCAGTTCCCCGTGGGCCGGGTGCATCGCCTGCTCCGCAAAGGCAACTACTCCGAGCGCGTCGGGGCTGGCGCGCCGGTGTATCTGGCGGCGGTGCTTGAGTACCTGACCGCCGAGATCCTGGAGCTGGCGGGCAATGCGGCCCGCGACAACAAGAAGACCCGCATCATCCCGCGCCACCTGCAGTTAGCCATCCGCAACGACGAGGAGCTTAATAAGCTCTTGGGGCGTGTGACCATCGCGCAGGGCGGCGTTCTGCCTAATATTCAGGCGGTACTGCTGCCTAAGAAGACTGAGAGTCATCATAAGGCCAAGGGAAAGTGAAGTGTTAACGCTTCATACACTGTCAGCAGACGAAATCAGCCTAACATCAAAGGCTCTTTTCAGAGCCACCTACGACTTCCGTTAAATGAGCTGTTATGCTTTGTATTATGCAGCCCACACAGATGTTTTGAGGTGTTTTTGATGGTTTTCGTGTGGCACTTTTAGTAATTTGTCCTGCAGAAATCTAGATCCATGGAAACCTCTTCAGGAACTCTACATATGTAGGAGAAATGCTGTGCAGCACAAAAAACACAGGGGTGATCCTCGCTAAGTTTCACACACAGCAGTTACATTTTGGAGGAAGGAAATTATACCCATGGGTGCACTCCTTAAGTATTTTTAATGGAAGTGTTAAGCAAAACACGCATACCCCACACAGTAAAACAGTTTGAAAATGTCACACCATTTGCTCTAGCAATTGATGGCATACACAATTGAGAGCGTACACATTACCACTGAACATTTCAGCATGTATTTCCCAAGATAAGGAGCTTTTTTCCAGTGTGGGGGATGTTGTGCTTTGTTTTGAGGTGGAGTCTCCCTCTGTCGGCCAAGTTGGAGTGCAGTGGGGTGATAATAGCTCACTGTAACCTCAAACTCGGGTTCAAGCGATCCTCTTGACAGCCTTCCGAGTAGCTGGGATTACAGGCGGGAGCCGCCACACCCGGCTAAGAGCATTTTGTTAATTGCCCACACTACTCATGCCACACCCAGAAAAATATCATTTTAAATAAAGAACACATGCTAATTTCCCTAATCGCCTCCAATATTCTTTTTCTTTTTTATATTTTAACTAGAAACAATTGGAGGTTTCCGCATTGCTTTGTGTGGTTGTAAATTTTAAGACTACGAAGCTTTTCCAGTACAAGACTTGCCACAGTGTAATAGCAGCTAAAGGGTTAAGGAAATGACGTCAGAGTAGCTACCGTAATGAGCAGTAGCCTCTCTTAATCTTCAACCAGGCATAGAGATGGACCAATCCAAGAAGGGCGAGGGGATTTTTGAATTTTCTTGCGGCCAATAGTTGGTGGTCTGACTCTATAAAAGAAGAGTAGCTCTTCCTTTTCCTTCACAAACGTCTTTTGAGGCAAGCTTCTCTGTTTGTTGCTATGGCTCGTACTAAACAGACTGCTCGCAAGTCCACGGGCGGTAAAGCGCCACGCAAGCAGCTGGCTACCAAGGCTGCTCGCAAGAGCGCGCCGGCCACCGGCGGCGTGAAAAAGCCTCACCGTTACCGCCCAGGCACTGTGGCTCTGCGCGAGATCCGTCGCTACCAGAAGTCGACCGAGCTGCTGATCCGAAAGCTGCCGTTCCAGCGCCTAGTGCGAGAAATCGCCCAGGACTTCAAGACCGACCTTCGCTTCCAGAGCTCAGCGGTGATGGCACTGCAAGAGGCTTGCGAGGCCTACTTGGTAGGGCTCTTTGAGGACACAAACCTTTGCGCCATTCATGCCAAGCGGGTGACTATTATGCCCAAAGATATACAGCTTGCTCGCCGCATTCGCGGAGAGAGAGCGTAAACCTAAAGTCACATTTTGATCAGTCCTAAAACCCAAAGGCTCTTTTCAGAGCCACCCAATTATTCCAATGAAAGTAGCTGTGATAACTACGTTTTTGTTAATAAACTTGAACACCAAACTAATTAAGGATCCCCAGAAAGCTTTACACTATGCTGTTAAGTAAAAGAAATGTGGTTTGACCCGTTTGGCAATGTAGACTATTTCTGAGCTTCTTAGGTGCTATTTGGAGAGGTGAAGCTGTATAAGTCCACCTGTCCATCATTCAGGCCTCTAGCTTGCTATGATTAGCATTTTTTAAAACAACTTTCTAAGGCTAAGAATATAAGGGAAAAACCAGGCAAGTGGTTAACTGGCGCTTACTAGGCTCTTTTGTGAAGCTTCCAAAAGATTGAAAAGTTATGTCTCACGACTTCCAATGTCTTAAAATGCTTAGAAGAATTTTATTTTTAATTCATTTGGCTGTCCACATTAACCTGAAAGTTATTCTGGTGCAAAATGTGAGGCAGGGATCTAACTGGCTCTCATTTTATCCATAGCTAGCTACCCACTTTTCATCTGTCAATCTGTCGACCAAGCGTAATTTAATTCCTTATATATTAATTATTTTATATGTGTGGCTTTGCTTGTAAATAGTGTAGCTGGTTGCATTGCTTTGTCTCCTCTAGGATTATGCACCATGACATGCAACATTTTTTTTCCCACTACTTCTTGCCTGTAGTTATCTATTAAAATCTAGAATTTACAAATTTTAACCATTTTCTTTCTGCTGATCTTGCTTTTTGGTTTTCTGGAGGTTGGGGGTTGAATACTGGAAGAAAATTTATAGGGATGGGAATACTGAATGTAAACAAAAGTAATGTTTAAAATTTGAATATTTTATATGATTGTAGTTTTTTTATCATATAACTTTTAGATCACATTTTACAAACTATAAAACCACAGATTGTCGAACATTACAACTACTAATTCCAAAGACCTTGCCTCACATTCTTTTTTACAATAAATATTTTTTACACCTAACATTCTTTCTTGGCCTACATCTAGAATGTAAATTGATGTACCATACTAAAATCACCTGACCAACTGTCAACAACAAACCACACACACAAAATATTAAGTTTGAATTGCATTGTTTACTTAAATTCACTTGTGTTCCAGCTTTTAATAAAGCAGTGTTTGGTTTACAAAGTAATATTTGCATTTTAAAAATTATGAAAATGAATATGCCTGTGTGTTTTATATTTTGTTTTTCTTGACTCTTATACAAGGGACTCTACCTGGCACAGACATTTGTTATCCATAGACAGAGTATGTTAGAGATGCCAATGGGCTTGGTCTATCTATGCCAAGGTGACTACCCCCAAGCTCTGGGCCCAGCTGAAGGTATTTTGTTTTTTCCAGTTATAGATGTGCTGGAGCTGATGTAGAGTGCTTGACTTTTTATATTTTCTTTATCTGTAGGAAAAAGTGTTGGAGGTACGGGGTCTGACCAATAGCATAAAATAATAAAGTGATATTACTGTGTGAGGATCAGATGGACTGGGGGGTGGTAGCTCAGTCCAGCTGTTCGCTCCCTCACTTACATTCTTTGCCCTCTCCTCAACAGAACAAGGATTCTGCTGTAACTCTTCATTTACAGTTGATACTTAAAGAATGGGCCGGGCACGGTAGCTCACGCCTGTAATCCCAGCACATTGGGAGGTGAGGAGATCGAGACCATCTTGGCTAACACGATGAAACCCCGTCTCTACTAAAAATACAAAAAATTAGCCGGGCGTGGTGGTGGGCGCCTGTAGTACCAGCTACTCGGCAGGCTGCGGCAGGAGAATGGCGTGAACCCGGGAGGCGGAGCTTGTAGTGAGTCGAGATCACGCCATTGCACTCCAGCCTGGGCGACAGAGCCAGACTCCGTCTCAAAAAAAAAAAAAAAAAAAAAAAAAAAAGAATGGATGAAATTCTCATTTGTGAAAGACAATTTATTGAGCATTTTATATTCGTGAGTAGTGCAAACATTTTAATATCATTATATTAAGAATCTATTGTTTTTTATTAGAGGAGTAATTAAGGTGAGATTGGAGACAAAAAGGGGGTGTTGTTTGCAGAATATAACATCCAAAAATAGACCACTGTGGGATCAGGATTCTTTTGAGCTAAAGGCACTTCAAAAACAGCAATTCAAGAAGAGAATTCTTCTAACCCTTTCTTTCTGAAAACAGGAGATAAAAATTCCAATGTGAAAAATGCTTTCCTTTTACCAGGAGAAAAGAGATTTTTCAGCAGAGTCATAGATGAGATAATTCTGCACAAACACAGCAGCGAGTCATAGCCGAGAGACTTCTATACACAAACAAACCTTGTTAAAATAATCCTATTTTCCTTTAATCTCCCCATATGGTTTACTTTCTCACAATTGCCTCTCTTTAACTTAATATGAAAGCATTTAGTTTTTGCCATTTCTTTGGGTCTTCACTTATGAGGGTTCTCCTGTCCCATAAAATTTACATTACATACATTTGTATGCTTTCGTTCTGCTAATCTGTTTTATGGCAAATTAAATATCAGGTCCAGTTGGAGACCCTAACAGAGTAGAGGTAAAATTTTGCCTCCCTATAACATATTGTGTGCATTAACTGTTGATTGTTCCCAGTTGTTCAGTTTGTCAGGCCTCGGAGCCCAAGCTAAACCATCATACACCCTGTGGCCTCCACGTATACATCCAGATGTCCTGAAGTAACTGAAGAATCACAAAAGAAGTGAAAATGGCCTGTTCCTGCCTTAACTGATGACATTACCTTGTGAAATTCCTTCTCCTGGCTCATCCTAACTCAAAAGCTCTCCCACTGAGCACCTTGTGACCCCCACCCCTGCCAGCCAGGAAACAACCCCCTTTGACTGTAATTTTCCACTACCTACCCAAATTTTGTAAAACGGCCGCACCCCTAATCCCCCTTCACTGACTCTCTTTTCGGACTCAGCCTGCCTGCACCCAGGTGAAATAAACAGCCTTGTTGGTCACACAAACCCTGTTCGGCGGTCTCTTCACAGCGACGCACCTGAAACAGTTAAACAGGGTTTTTCCTGCCCAGTCATCACAAAGTGATGTTATGCTGTAGGCTGAAGTTTATAGCTAATGCTGTTTGTTTCACGGGTCCGTGTGAAGAGATCACCAAATAGGCTTTGTGTGAGCAACATGGCTGTTTATTTCACCTGGGTGTAGGCGGGCTGAGTCCGAAAAAGGAGTCAGCAAAGGTGGTGGGATTATCATGAGTTCTTATAGGTTTTGGGATTGGTGGTGGAGGTAAGAGCAATGTTTTGGGGGCAGGGGATGGATCTCACAAAGTACATTCTCAAGGGTGGGGAGAATTGCAAAGAAACTTCTTAAGGAGACTATAAAGTACATAGGTCTGTTAGGGTGGGGCAGAAATAAATCACAATGGTGGAATGTCATCAGTTAAGCTATTATCACTTCTGTGGCTCTTCAGTTGCTTCAGGTCATCTGAATGTATACGTGCAGGTCGCTGGGGATATGGTGGCTTAGCCTGGGCTCAGAGGCCTGACACTGTTGAAGCCTAAAATCAGTTTTGGTTTGTTAGATTTGGGTGAAAAGGCTAAGATTCTCAGACAAAGAAGTCAAGTTTGGGGTGCATTTTTCAGACTTAAAAATTTAGCAGTAGCCCTTCCAGTTTTTCCAATAGAAGTGATTTACGAATGTTTTCAGAATTTAAAACAACAGTGAGAAGCGTGTATGGAGATTTGAACTACACTCCAGGCTTGGCTATAGGAAAGCACAAAGGCTTCTATGATTATGCACCTTGGAAAAGAGAACAAAGGAATATTTTCAGACAGTTTTAACATGTCACATATGAAAAGCAAAAAAATCTGTCAACACCTTGTACGTTATTACACGCTATGATTTTATAAAAACAATCCTTACTAATACACACATAGTTGCTGCTAGCGATATGGTGTTGGTAGTAAAAACCCAAAAATGAGAGTTCAGGACAATATCCCAACTCTGGGCAGATTTTTAAAGTAGTTATATCTAAAATTAAATCATATTATGTAATATTTATTTGTTTTCCATAGTCTCTGTTCTCATGCCTCGTTCACATTAACTAATTAAAAGTTCCCTATCATCATAACCCGATTTACAGAAGGAGGCATGGTTGCAATGTAACATAGCTAACAATCACCCTCTTCTGAATGAGACAGTACAGTGTGAAGGACAGCAAAACTCCACCCCCATCCTCTTAAGGCTCTGGCTGGACCAGCAAATTAAATTAATATAAAACAGATTAACAGGAGAAAGGTATATGCATTTATTTAATACAGGTTTTACGTGACACAGGTGCTCTCATAAGGAAATGAAGGCCCCAAAAAGCAGTTAGTTACTTATATAATGAATCGGACAAATAGTAAAAGTGTAAAAATGCGTTAAAGCAAAGGCTAGAATATGTAATTGGGTAGAAAAGCAACCAGCAAGTGCTAGTGCAAGGTTTGTACAGAATTCTCTTGGCCTTAGCCTCCCATCCTTGAGAAGAATGTTGCTTTTTTTAAAGTACAGTGAGAACATCGTTCATATAAGATTCTCAGCTACTGCTTCTAAGAAACAGGTCAGATTTCAACAAAACAGGAGGCCAGAGTAATCTTTTCACACCTGCTCTTTTAAGTACCTTTAAATAGTCAATATGTCTTCAAGCACTTGAAAGACTTAAAAAGTCTACCACTCTGGCATATTAATGAAAGCTCTTAATATAAGCCCTTATTAAAATTCTCAGTCGAGGGTATAGCCTCAGATTCAAATAGTAGTGTCGTAAACGGGAGTGAAAAACTAAAGGGATTAAAAAGTGAAACTATTGTGTTGTCTCTCACAGTCCTTAGGTCACTGCCCCACGAGGGGCGGAGCAAAGGGTGAGGCAGCAACGCCTCCTTATCCTCGCTCCCGCTTTCAGTTCTCAATAAGGTCCGATGTTCGTGTATAAAAGCTCGTAGCTTGTCTTTGTTTTTGTATTCTTTCTGTTCAGACTTGCTTGAGTATGTCTGGTCGCGGCAAAGGCGGCAAAGGTTTGGGTAAGGGAGGCGCCAAGCGCCACCGGAAAGTGCTGCGGGATAACATCCAAGGCATTACTAAACCTGCTATTCGGCGCCTTGCTAGGCGTGGTGGAGTTAAACGGATCTCCGGTTTGATTTACGAGGAGACCCGAGGCGTTCTCAAGGTTTTTCTGGAGAACGTGATCCGGGACGCCGTGACATATACGGAGCACGCCAAGCGCAAGACTGTCACTGCCATGGATGTGGTTTACGCGCTCAAGCGCCAAGGACGCACTCTATACGGTTTCGGCGGTTAATATTTTAGTCAGTTTTCCGTCCAATAGGCCCTTTTCAGGGCCGCCCACTCCCTCTCAGAAAGAGCTGTGATCGTATTCTTTAGGAAAATCTCAGCTTTACTCAACCACTTTGCCTAGTAAGAACAACTACAGGCCGGTTGGGAGAGACCAGGTTCTTAGGGCTTGAGCGGCTGCTAAAGCAGAAGTCAGCTGAGCAAACGCGGTCTCTGGGATAAGGGAGCTATGAAGTTTAATGCTATGGTTTTGACACTAAAGGAACTTAACAGTGCAGCGCGAGTCCGATAATGAGTCGTTCAGCTTTTTAGTTTTAAAAACATTGCATTATTTGTACGGGAGTCTTAAGATGCCAGCCGGCTGCAGGTGATTAAGTGGATTAAAACAGATGTCAGGTGTTTCCCAGGCGTTTGACTTAAGCAACGTCAGCAAGTTCTATACATTTAGCCTCCCTGGTAACACCTGCCCTCAACCGCCCCCCTCCCCGTAGCGCCAGAAGCCCTTACTTCCATTTTTAGTTGAGCTTGGCGTCGTGCTGAGTGATGTCACCTACCCTCTCCCCCGAGCAAGACTGGCAGTTAAAGCTGCTTTGCTATTTTCAGTCCTCAGGCTGGAGGCTGTCCTAGGCAGGCTGCCTACGCAGTTTGTAAATTCCCACTTAGTAGACTAAGGGAGTCTGTTTTATAAATACTCACATTTCCTCTGACTCCGAGGTCCGTGGCAGTAGCTATAAAATGGAAGCCGCTTCTGATACAGGATTCTTCGATGACTCTTCCATATTCACTGTACCTGTCAACCCAACGGTCTTCTATTCCTGCCTTAAATTGGAAATTCCAAAACTGATTTTTTTAATTGTGCAAGTTTCAAACTGTACGACCTAGGAAGTGTTTCAAAGTTAGGTGACCAAATTTAGAAGTCAGCCAAATATTCAGCATCTTCGATTTAATAAATACATAGAGGGCTACTTCAGCAAAAAAACAACTTTGTTGTCTGGTTACTTTGCTAACAAGCCTCTCCCCACAGGAGGACATAGTGAATAGATAGTTGAGTAAGTGAGTTCGGGTGAGAGGTCTGAGCTGGAGATAAAAATGTGGCAGACATCAGCAGATAAATGCTGAGACCGGATGAGACGGCTAAAAACTGAAACAATGTAGTACAGCATTGTTTGCAGTAGTAAATGAGTGGGAACTGTAAAGTTTTCATCAGAAGGGACTAGAGTGTGATCTGTATATCCATAAAATAGAGTATCTCTACATAGCCCTACTAAAGAATGAGAAAACTGTACTCCACTACATACTCTGGTGTATTCTGGCTCAGTTCTTGGACTCCTTTTCTCGGCTAACTCAACTAGCCTCACCACTTACAAGCTCTGTGTTCTGTGAAATAGTTTATGTTCAACAGAACACCAAGGCCTAGCTGTAAGTGCCACGTTAACTTCTAGCAATGCCAAAGCCTGTGATAGTGGCAGCTTCCGGCTGTTTCTCATTCCCAGGTTGCCTAACCACCTCTCCAAATTCTGTTTGCTTCCACCCACTTCAAGTTTCAGAACGAAACATAGAGCTTAAGAAAAATAGGCCTGGCACGGTGGCTCACGCCTGTAATTCCAGTACTTTGCAAAGCTGAGGCTGAATGAGATCTCATCTCATTCAAGCCTCTCCTCAAATACCAACCTTAAGAAAGAGACCTCCCATAATCATCCTTTGTAAAATAATATGCTTTTCTGCTCATTTAGCATATGGTATATAACTGACTATCCTCAATAGCATATATATATATAAAATTTCCCCACCTATAACTATATATGTAACAATATATTTAACAGAACAGGGCTGACATTTAACAGGTAGTTTATAGAGGTTTGTTGAATGAATGAATGCTTGAATCTTCTATGTAAGTCTCCAAGCTCCCCACTAAGCCCACTAGAATGCTAACACAATCAATTCCCCATCTCTCATTCCTTGACCTGCCACTGCCTGAAGCAATCAGTGTGCAGTTTCTCTTTAGAAAATCTGGGGGTTAGTCTAGGGGCTGCGAATTAAGCAACATTATCTTCGTTCTGAACAAGGACTGCATGAGTGTTAGGATTGAAGAAGGCCCAAGGTGGTGGCGAGTATGCCTAAGATGAGTATGACCTATCAGCAATGCTATGAGCTAAAAAGGCCAGGCAAAACATAACAGGAGCTAGTCATGGCTATTGTTACAGTGGCTGTAGCTCCCACATGGGTAATCTATATCCACACACCCCTCTACATTGACTCTGGAATTCAGGAAAGGGAATTAAAATTTGCTAACTTATGTACCCCAATGTCTACAACAATATCTGGCATACGAGATCAATAAATATCTTTAAAATACCAGCTAAGAAAGGCATAAAATGATCCACACTCCATACTAGGCTCATTTTTGCTCCTCTGATTCCAGGATGCAGCTATGAATTCTCTCCATTGTCAGTTTTAAATTAAACCAAGCTGGGTACTCAAGAAATGCTGGATGAAAACTGTCAGGTGGAAAACAGGACCTCAAAATACAGAGGAATCCATCACTGAAGCTAACGTAGTGAGGCCGAAATCAGTCCTCTATAACAATGAGCACAATGAGAGGCATTTGTGAATATTTACTCAGATGAGAGTAAGATATTTCCCTATTAGCTAATCTCAAGTTCACATCTGTTTTCCAGCTGAGTTCTGAAGCTAGACGTACTACTGAACACATAATTGCATCAGGAACATCCTTTAAAACTGTGGCTACAATGACTTGACTGGACAAACCCCAGGCTTCCAGGTTTAGCACAGGTGGCCCTTCACAGACCAACATTGCCTATGCTACCAACCTCATGTCCTGCCACCCTGCCTGCATCATTTCTCTCTGCATATATAAAAATATGTAAGTGTATATATATAAAGAAATCAGCTTTATTGATATTTAATATACCATAAAATTTGCCCACTTTAGGTACAATTCAATGAATTTTACCATGTTTACTTAGTTGTACAACCATCATCACAATTTAATTTCAGAATATTTCTATCACCCAAATTTCAATTTCTACGTAAAGGGGGAAAAAAAAAGGCTAACTGCTGAAGGCCCGGTAACACTGAAAAAGGTGACTTTTCTCTATAAAACAGATTTTCATCGCCCCTGAATTTAGTGTCCTGGGTATTCCAGGAGTCTAAATGGGGTTTCAATTTTCAGGATCTTTTAAATCGAGGCAAATTGTATTGGTGGCAATAAATTGAGTATTGCTCTCAGTACTGATTGAGGGATACTTAAAAGTCTCTGTGATTTTATTTCCTAATCGCTAAAAAATAAAAATTAGTAAAAAAAAAAAATTTTTTTTTTTACTAAAACAGGGTTTTGTCCTTTCTCAATAAGCTTTTTAGCTTCTCCTCCGACTCTCCGGCTTGCCTCAGTAAACATTAGCTTATCAGTTCTGATTGGTTGACAGCTACGAATGGCGCTCACTGATTGGGCAGCGCTTCTCTTTGTCCCTTGGAAACTAACACAAATTTTAAACTCAATGTTTTTCCCACTCACTCTATTCAGAGTTGGAATATCTTTGCTCCCCTACCCACATCTAGTGAGTGAAGGGCAAACTTGCATTTCCAGTAATCTTTCCTTTCTAGTATGTCAGCTCATTATCATTCACATTAACCATACATTGAGCTTCTTGGCTTAATGGATACAGCTCTTCTTTTGTTTAGTTGGGCGGCCCTGAAAAGGGCCTTTGGTTCAGAAATGCAAGCTGGGGAGAAAGCAGCAACCTTAGCCGCCAAAGCCATAAAGGGTGCGTCCCTGGCGCTTGAGCGCGTAGACCACGTCCATAGCAGTGACTGTCTTGCGCTTGGCGTGTTCCGTATAGGTGACAGCGTCACGGATCACGTTCTCCAAGAACACCTTGAGCACCCCGCGAGTCTCCTCGTAGATCAGACCAGAGATCCTCTTGACACCGCCACGCCGGGCCAGACGCCGGATGGCCGGCTTGGTGATGCCCTGGATGTTGTCGCGCAACACCTTGCGGTGGCGCTTGGCACCCCCCTTACCCAAACCCTTCCCGCCCTTACCACGTCCAGACATGATTTCCTAAGAAGTGAACCAAGAGCAAGTGAGAGAGAACAGGGGAACCGATCTTTATATAATCTACGTTACCCCTCCCCCACCCCCAGCGGACACAGAATGAAAAGCGCGCAGGCGGGAAATGTGACGCCTACAGTCCCCTCCCTCAACCCCTCCTCCAAGCCCCAGGAAGTGGCGGGAGCAGCGGTTGGGGGAGGGTGGGGAGAAGGGGGTGGGACCAAGCTGGCTTGACCAATGACTTTTATTTTCTTAACAGAACTACAGGCTTTGAGGAGCTGGGTTAAGAATTAACCAGAGAGAGAGAGAATAGGGGAACCGATCTTTACGTTTAGGGGTAACCGAACATTACCCCTTCCCCCACCCCCAGCGGACACAGAATGAAAAGCGCGCAGGCGGGAAATGTGACGCCTACAGTCCCCTCCCTTACTCCTCCTCCAAGCCCCAGGAAGTGGCGGGAGCGGCGGTTGGGGGAGGGTGGGGAGACGGGGGTGGGACCAAGCTGGCTTGACCAATGGCTTTTGTTTTCTTAACAGAGCTACAGGCTTTGAGGAACTGGGTTAAGAAATACAAACCCATTCAGACTCCAGAACTATTTTAAGTCGAATGTTTTTCTTTTGAGACTGAGTCTCGCTGTCGCCCAGGCTGGAGTACATTACCGCGATCTCGACTCCCTGAAACTTGTGCCTCCCAGGTTCAAGCGGTTCTCCTGCCTCAGCCTCCCGAGTGTAGTTGGGATTACAGGCGCTCGCCATCACGCCCATCGTGTTATTGTATTTTTCGTAGAGACTGGGTTCGGCCATATTGGCCAGGCTGATCCCAAACTCCTGACCTCTGGTGATCTGCCCGCCTCAGCCTCCCAAAGTGCTCGAATCACAGGCGCGTCACAGTGACCAGCCAAAATCGAATGGTTTTGAAGCCTTCAGTGGCAAACATTAAAATGAAAAGTGCTCCCAATGGATTCCCTTTCGTCTGTAGATTGGCTTCTTACAGCTACCTTACTTGAAAAGGTGGTGGCTCTGAAAAGAGCCTTTGATTGGACCGTCAGAGCTGCCGGAGTAATCATGCCCGCTCTCCGCGGATGCGGCGAGCGAGCTGGATGTCCTTGGGCATGATAGTGACACGCTTGGCGTGGATGGCGCACAGGTTAGTGTCCTCAAACAGCCCAACTAAGTAGGCCTCGCACGCCTCCTGCAAAGCCATCACAGCAGAGCTCTGGAAGCGCAGGTCTGTTTTAAAGTCCTGCGCAATCTCGCGCACTAGGCGCTGGAAAGGTAGTTTACGAATCAGCAGTTCGGTGGATTTCTGATAACGGCGGATCTCGCGCAGAGCCACAGTACCGGGCCGGTAGCGGTGGGGCTTTTTCACACCGCCGGTGGCCGGAGCACTCTTGCGGGCTGCCTTAGTGGCCAACTGTTTGCGTGGCGCCTTGCCACCAGTAGACTTCCGAGCAGTTTGCTTAGTACGAGCCATAATAGGAAAACAGCACAATGTAACACCCAACACCAGCGCAAATACGTTCGCCAGCTTCTCTGCTATTTATAGTGAGTAAAGTGCAGTGATTGGATGATAGAAGACGCTAAATATGACGTTACGAGTTCTGATTGGTCTATCTTTAAGCCTCAACAATCGTGCAGTTTCACTGGCTACTATATTCTATTCCAACTCTACAGATTATTATTTTTAAAGTGGTATTATTATTACTATTATTATTATTTTATTTCACTTTTGCTTTGTTCCCCAAGCTGGCTTTAACTTGGGCTCAAAGGATCTTCCCGCCTCAGCGTCCGGACTAGCTGGGATTACAGGGGAGCGCCACCGCGCCGGCTTGTACTTTAATTTTTTAATCTGTTGTCCTCTTATACATCTGGTTTTCATAACCTGAAGGCTGTGTTTATTTTCCATAAAACAAGGCATTGATTCCAAAGGTATTATAATTCTCCAATTCTGTATAGCCTTCAGCTCTTTAGGAGAAAAAAAAAAAAGAGGGAATCCTCCTCTCCGGAAATGTACCCTTAACGGGAATTTCTGAAACCTTTCACAATAATTGCATTCCTTTGTAATGCTTTAATTGACTTAGTAGCGCTATTGAAATCTACAAAGCCTCTCAAACATAGTAGGATTACACTATTCCTCATAGAAATATTTTCTATGAGACGTCTTTCTCTTGATTATGCTCTTTGAATCCTAAACTTGCAGTGTTCTGCAGCTCTTGTTTTCTAAGTCTAGGTGTACTCTGCCAGTCAATAAATGGCGTTTCTCCAGCACTGCCGCCAGGTACCACCAGCTGGGAATTGTTGCTCTTGCGGAGCAGGAGGTGGACTTGGCCCAAGAGAAACTGGATGGTAGTCCGCAAGGAACATAATTTAGCACTGCCAAGCGCTAATGTAATCCTTTTAAAAGTCTCAAAATGCTAAAAAGTGGATTGTGACCTTTTTAAATTCACAGGAGACAGGCCACTTTCTATCTTTTGATTGGTTTAGGCTATTTTCTTGAACAGCCATTTAGAAAGCAGATCTATCATCCTTTATTTGCATGGAGCGTTCCCATTTTATTTGAAGCCAGTTTAACCCAAAGGAAACAAGGGAGGCAGAACCCATTATTTAAAGTGGAAGCTCCTGAATCAGATAATTCGGAGTATTTCCTTTTTAAAAGTTGCGTTTTTTTCAGATACCTCGCTTATTACATTAAGAAAGGTTTATATCTTTCATAAAGGGTTTACTTACAAAAACCTTCCAATTTTGTATACCTGTGTTTCATAACTAACCGTCAAACCAAGATGTATAGTTTCCAAATGTTATTTTCCAAATTTTAAGAAATTACGTGAAATATTTGAATGCGTGGCTTCTCAATAAAATAGACGTAGGAAACACTGGTAAAGAAGATGGGTACAATAGTTATCTGGGACTACTACATTATTTGGTTGGCACGTTGTTTGAAGAAAAAGGGAAAAAGCTCAGGTTACTTAGCACAGTTCGGACTCATTTAAAAACTACAACAGTACGAACGGAAATAGACCGCATTCCCTCACTCTCCGCTGTGTTAGGGGGTTATCCAGAATAGGATTGTAGAAGTGGATGTCTATTTAATAGTTTTTTTGTTCTCCCGTTAGCTGAGTCTCTGATTGGCAATGTGAGATCGTTTTAGCTTATTGATAATTTGAAATGCTCTTAACAGCCACAAACAAGCTAAAGAGAGGTTACCATAAAATCTTATCCCCAGGGTGTGCTTACACTTACCGTTTGTTTTCACACTAAGGAGACTTAACTCCCAGCAGAATGCCTGTCGGGGAACCAGTTTCTTGGACCCAGCATTTTACGCCTTTCGCAGGTTTGTTAGGCCCATAAATCTTTGTTGAATAAAACAATGAGTTGACCATGTCATGGTGCGCTCATTGCATGTGCTGACATGGAACACAGGTTGTAAACCTTAACACCCATTTGGGGCATGTTGTATGGATGAAAAGGGCATTGGAAATTCCTGAAGTGCATCCCACATTGGACTGTGGAAGTAAGTTGCAAGTGCAGAAACGTTTCCACACTTGCAGTTTGAGTATTAATTGCGGCGTTAGTGAATTCCGGTGTTGTCTACGATTCATTCTTCTTTGACGTGAAAGGTATTCGCGAGACACATTGCTCTAAAACATTGCCAGAAAATGTAAGAGTTGATGACTACTAGCCCTAACACGGCCTAAAACCCGCACTTTCCTCTTTCTCCCCAACTATTCAAAACACTGTATTTTACATTTCTTGCAAATTAAAAACTAACATCTCTGGCAACGGACCTCTAAAAATTTCTAATAAAACTCCTTGGATGCTTGTGGGGCTGCATTTGCAAACCGCTCCCCATCAACCTACTCCCTAAAAAAGAGCTGCTTTTTGGGAGACAAGCGGCACCCTCTGATGTTACTGGGCGGCAGTCGGCCTACAATTTCCTTCACAATGAGGCAATCGGAGCGGCTTTTTCGGTGTGTTTGCTTGCGTTAAGGGGAGCAGGACCATAGGCCCTAGAGGCCCCCAGGTGCTCTCTGAGACTGGGGGAAACCCTCTGCAGCGCGCAGGGGGCGCTAGGGTGCGAGGGGCGGGCACTGACGGGCACCAATCACTGCGCAGTCCCACCCTATAAATAGGCTGAGTCGGGGCCTTTTTTTCCCGCATCCTGCTTGGTCAGGTTTATACCAGTTTACTTGGTGTGCTGTATTAGTCACCATGTCCGAAACGGCGCCTCCGGCTCCCGCCGCTTCTGCTGCTCCTGAGAAACCTTCTGCTAGCAGGAAGGGAAAGAGACCTGCTAAGGTTGCAGCGGCCACTAAGAAAAAGCCCGCTGGCCCTTCCGTGTCAGAGCTGATCGTGCAGGCTGCCTCCTCCTCCAAGGAGCGTGGTGGTGTGTCGTTGGCTGCTCTTAAAAAGGCGCTGGCGGCCGCGGGCTACGATGTGGAGAAGAACAACAGCCGCATTAAGCTGGGTATTAAGAGCCTGGTAAGCAAGGGAACGTTGGTGCAGACGAAGGGCACCGGCGCCTCGGGTTCCTTCAAACTCAACAAGAAGGCATCCTCCGTGGAAACCAAGCCCGGCGCTTCAAGGGTGGCTGCAAAAACCAAGGCAACGGGTGCATCTAAAAAGCCCAAAAAGGCCACGGGGGTTAGCAAAAAGAACGTCAAGACTCCGAAAAATGCTAAAAAGCCTGCGGCAACAAAGAAATCCTCTAAGAGTCCCAAAAAACCCAAAGCTGTAAAACCCAAGAAAGTAGCTAAAAGCCCTGCTAAAACTAAGGCCATAAAACCCAAGGCGGCCAAGGCTAAGGTGACGAAGCCAAAGACTGCCAAACCCAAGAAAGCGGCACCCACGAAAAAGTAAATTCGGTTGGAAACTTCTACTAACCCAACGGCTCTTTTAAGAGCCACCTACACACTTCGGGAAAAGAGCTCTAATACACAGATGAAATTCCCCAAGCAAATGCAATACGCCCTCATTTATATTAGAATCACTTGGAGAGTCAATAGGAACTTTAACATAGGTTGAGTAGTAAATTCTTGCCAGATGAGGCTATCAAAGATAGCAAGGTGAATTCAAATGCACCGAGTTAAAGTCGAATTTTAGATCACCTGTTTGTTGCTTTTTTTTTTTTTTTTAAAGTAGCCCGAAGTCCCGCATCTCACGACCCCAAGCTAATTAGTCATAACTGTAACAAACCAAGGTTGAAACCTAGTCCCAGGCTTGAGGCTTTTTTATTATGCAAGGTTAAAGTGCGGACATTGCGTTCTTGGGTCAATATTGCTAAAGTAGCCTTTTCCGAAATTGGGTGGTCCTAAGAAATGCTTCTGGGATAGTTGGCAAAATTCATGGCTTAATCACGCTCTCTCCGCAGGAGTGGCTAGAGAGGTGTCTGTCCTTGGGAATGACGGTGACCCTGCTGGCGTGACTGGCGCCCACGTTGGCGTCCTCTGAAATCCCCACCAGGTAGGCCTAGCTCGCTCGCTTTCTGCAGCGCCATCATGACAAAGCTTTGAAACGCAAAATGCTCTTGCTTTGCGCAGCGCTTTACCATGGGTGCACTTACAGGCTGTCGACTTGGTTTAGGCCCTCATCAGGACAAAGGAGCTTAGTTGCAATGGAGTTTTAGAGCTGCAACTCTAAAGCCCTCGCTCGGTTTCTCTGTTTTTAGAAACAGTAGCGACCTGATTGGATAATATTTGAAAATTACTGTGCTTAACTGGATCGTGTTTCATCAATCGTGCAGGATTTTCAACCCTGGTGGAGCCCACACATTCAATACTGAAGATCCTTTTCTCAGAACTGCCCCTTTAAGCTTTTGCAATTTTAATTCTGGGGTTCAGATTTTAATAACTGAACTTTTTTGTTTACATCTGACAAAAAGAGTATATGATGAGCCAAGTTTACTCACTTAGTGCAGCTCAATTCTAAAAGTTTATTTTTGCGTGTGTGCATATGAGTTAATAATTAGTTGTATTTTTCAAACGGTCGGTCTTTTTTCAATTGTTTTGCTTAGCTCCTTCCATCGTCTAAAGTCAGGGATACAGGCACATCACATCCCTGTTCCCCCTTCCTCAAACTAATATGTAGCTACCTGTTTTTCTTTAAAAAAAAAAATAAATTATCACCTATTTCTGTGAGAAATATACATGTTTTTCTTTGAACTAAGTATTTTACATACACCTATCTATATACATGCATAGTTTTTTGTTTTTTTTAAAAAAAAAAAAGTTATCTTTTGAGACTGGGTCTCAGTCTGTTGCCCAGGCTGGACTGCAGTGGCATAATCACAGCCCACTGTAACCTCCAACTCCTGGATTCAAGCTATCCTGCAGCCTCAGCATCCAGAGTAACTGGGATTGCATGGACACACCACCATGCTGGGCTAATTTTTTATTTTTATTTTTTGTGGAGATAGTCCCACCATACTGTCCAGGCTGGTCTAGAAATGGCCTCAAGCGATCATCGGCCTCCCAAAGTGTTGGGACTACAGTCACTGTGCCTGGCTCCGTATGCATAATTGTTTTGTCTTTT